CTCCCTAAAAATACATCTGCATAGATAGTCTTTACAAGCAGCTTATTGTGACCCATATTTCACAGGATAATGGCGCAAGCTCTGGGTTAACCCTGCGCTGGAGTAGGACCAGCAAACCCTACAGGCTAAAGTCGTGGTTAGCCCACACTGTAACATGTTTAATAATAAAAAATAAACTAATCATATATTAAAGACTTTGTCACCTCTCTAGTCCAGGGATGTTCATGCAAAATGTCCTAATTAAAGTTCTTACTACTGAGCCGCTGTTCAGACAGTGTCTCCTGTAAAGCCAATTATTTCACATGCATCTGTTATATTAGAAAAAGTAATGCTTTCTGTGAGAAAATTAGGTTAAGGTTCACACCGAAATATAGAAAATATTTTTAAAAAGCACTCTCTTTTTAATCTTTGGCAAGCTGCATAGGATGAAAAGTACCCTTTGATGTGTGCCTTAAAAACATCAAATGAAAAGGACCAAGGCAGATCAGGATGTTCATGGTTGCTGCATCATCACTTTATCAGCATCATGTACCTGGAGAACACGCGAGAAATCAGTGCTATATTTAAATATTTTTCTTTTAATGAATTAGATCAAGAATGTGTTGATTTTTCTGTTTGTATCTGAATCGAATGAGCCCTTGGCCAGTGATTCATCTATTTCTGTGACATTCCTTTAAGACGCTTGGCATCAGTGACATCAGCAAAGCACACACTCAATGCTGGATTTCATTCATGTAGCCAAGAGCAAACAGAGATGTAACGCAGGAGGACACACACACTACATGTATACTCCCATGCAAAAAGAGTGCTCATCGTCACGTTTTTACCTCTTTATTCTAATATTAACCATACAGTGAGCACAAAAAACATATGAGTATCAAATGAGACATTTGAAGCAAATAGATTTTTTTGTTTTCTGAATCATTTGTAAAGGGAATTGTAATGTAACTTATGTGATACTTTATGAACAACATCACCATCTGGTGGAGAGAGCCACCAGAAAGCTCTGTCCTCAGGCCATTTCATATACCAGCATCAAAAACTTTCATGTGTTATATAGATTTATGTTTCACTGATTGAACTATGACAGATTTCGATGCTTTGAACTCTTTTGTAAATCACTTTCTAAGACTTATCTGAGGTAGACAGGAAGACCAAGCATTAAGAATGATGCAATGCATTGTTAGTGCCTTCTGATGCATAGCAGCAGCCATAAACTGCTCCACTTTCACTGTCTATCTTTTTACCCATTTATTATGTTGCCAAGCAGCATTTCTCTTCTGACCTCCAGCCTTGTTTCTAGACAAGGGGACAGACACAGAAAGTCATTAATCGGACCAGAAACAAAGAAGGAAAAGTTCCCTCATCCATCAAAGGAACTTAAGATCTTTGACAATGTCCTGGGCCCCGCGCAGATCAAAGAGAGAGACGCCAGTTGTTCTCAGGTCCGGCAAATGAATCCCCACCTCGTTCATCCATCATGCTCGGAACTGAGATAGCAAAATAATAAAACCTTTTTCAGGTAATGGCCCCAGTTTGATCTCACCATTAGGCATGTCCCCTAATCTACAACCTTGTATTGGGCTATGATTGATGACTTGATCTGAGTGTACATTAAAGGATCTGCTTAAAATTCACCTTCTATAGCTGGTCAGACACAGAAGCTGATTAATGAGTGCCAGAGAAACTAGTAGTGTTCTTTTGGTGACTCTGTGGGCACTGTGAAGACAAGATCTGATTGGCTATGTGCAGGGAGCTTTGGATAATTCTGATAAATAGTAATTATAGTTCCTTGGCAGCTGAGGTTGATGGGAATGTTTTTATTTTCTCAGGTATTTGGTCATAAAGCAAACCAAACAAAAATTTGACCTGATGGTGGCGCTATAGCTGTAAGGTCAGAGGATCACCAAAGTTGTTGCAATTCATCCTGATTTGGACACGAACAGCATATTGTTGAGACATTTCACTCAAAACCAAAAATGTCAGCCTCATTGTGGCACTAGAGGAAAAGTAAGAATATCATTCTTGGGACCATGAATATCGGTTCAAATGTTGATGTCAATCCACCCAATAGTTTTTGAGATATTTCAGTCTGGACCAAAGAGGTGGATCCACTGAATGACTGGGCACCAGACAGACTTTGCCTTTCATGCAGCCATGTCACTTGTATGGCACTAAAAATATGTTCATGTTAATATTTTCAACATTGACACCAATAAAAGCACATTACAGTATACTGACGTCGCTGTCCTGTAAAAGCCATGTATCTCTAAAACATCAACTTTTCATGAGCCGATAAAAAAAATTTCCTATTTTCAGCTTTGTGTCAGATAATACTTTGGGGTTTATTTACTTTAAGAAGTAGGATCATTTTCTCAGCACATAAAGGAGCAATCATCAATCCATCGATCTATCTTAAAAATGAAAAATCGCCAAATTTGGAGATACATGTTTTTTACTAGACAACAATAATATGCAGTAAATGTGATTTATTTATTTAATTTAAACTGCTATAAATAAAGCTAATATTGTTTCTTAAAGGTGATGACTGTAAATTTTAATTTTGTCAAGGAAATACAACATCAGCACTAAGTCTATCGTGGCCCATTAGCATTCTCATTTCTATTGAGAAGTATATGAGATGTATTTCATCTCACAAAGTGGTGTGCAGACAGCTAATGTGTCTGTGCCTGAAAGTCTCTAAAACTATAAAGAACTGCCTTTTAGCTCTCCCAAGATGGCTTGACCATCACGCAACTCCGCTATAATCACCAGTGGGATGAGCTTCAGACATCGTCAAAATATAATGGAAACTAAACACCACCTATAAACACTGCCAGCAGAAACCCTTTGTCGTCTGTAAACTCAAGGTCCTCTCTGTAGCTGATAGACTCTGCCTGTTTGGAAGTCTCATAGAGTCTGTCCTCCTTTCATTATCCTCTGCTGCTCCATCTGCTGCTTCACCATGTCTCCAACAGCCACAAACATGCACTGATTCTAACATCACTCGTCTTTCAACTGTCACAGTTGTCAAAATTGCTGCAGTCGTGCAAAGCAAAGCTCTCAGTGCAGCACATGACCCTGAACACCCCATCAAACCAATGCGTCACTCTGCTTCAGTCCAGTTGCAGGTGCAGAACCTGGGGCCTGTTTGTAAGTTATCTGGATAATAACAACAGATTTTCGTTTTTATTAGTCCATGTTACAGATTTATGGGGGCTCCATGTATATGTATGTATGTATGTATATATGTTTTTTTAGGTAGTCAATCTGTCAATCACCACTCTGGTCCAGACTGAAGCATGTAAGTATCAGCGGTTGGAAGTAACATTTGCTCTAGTGAGGTACTTGTACTATACTGTACTATACTATACTTAAGCATTTATGTTACTTTACATCTCAGTACACTAGAGAAAAACAAAATGTTTTACTCCAATTTAAAATCTACGGTTACTAGTTCTTTTTCAGATAGTAGAAGTAGTTGCAAAATTAGCTCCACCTCAACCAACTGCAACATTAAAGCACCACTTACATATTAATGCATATTGCAGGACGAGTATATTTATATTGTATACTTTTATTTAAACTTGCAATAACTGGCTGTTTCATATTTTCACAAGATCACGTTATAACAAAATATTTATTATTGTTATATGTTATTATGACAAAATGTATCATTTTAATTTTTCCAAGAAACATTACTTTATTTTGTTCTATTAAAAAAACATGATATGTTGGCATGTTGTTATAACAAGAAACTTGTGAGGGCTCCCATCAATATAATTCGTATGTGCTGCTGAATAGTTACCACCACTATGTGTAAGAATTGTGTATATAAAATATACGCAATGTTGTGCATGCACTTTTATTTTAATAGCTATATTCATGTATACTCCATGTATTCCATAGGTATATTCCATTACATCCTATTATGTATCAATATTGCAGAGGATGGCATTTCCATTCAGCTCTTATCAATGTAAATTCTGTGGGAGAAATTTCCATTTAATGGTATTTGAAATCCATTCAGATGATCATTCCCAGAAATGAGGTCCGAAAGTGTAAAACATCTGAGAGATGTAAAAACTAGATTCACTGGGATGTTAATGTAAGTGTGATGGAGAGAGAGGAGATTGGAACAGATAAGTGATCAGAGCTGATAAAATGGAATGAAATGTTTCAGCCCTTAAGACATTTAGGTGTAGACTTTATCTCTGTATCTGTACAGAGTGGTTTCTACTAACCAGCCTCAGGTGACAACAGCCAGTGCAGGAATGACGGGGTCGGCGTACAACAATAATTAGAGAAAAAGAGAAATCAATTTGTTCTAGTCATCAAGCCTGGACAAAACATGTTCCCCATGCTCAGAACTTTCAAAAGAAGACAACTTAAGTAAAAATACGTGATTCATTTAATACAGATGGTGTTTTGCCTTTAAATTTGCATGCAAAACTACAAACACTTACGCATGTTAATTTAAAGAGGCCTAAAAACACTGGAGCGGTTTAACCTTCAGTGATTGTGGATCTGCCTCTGCTTCAGAGGACTATTGTCCATGTGTCTCTATTATCCTGCTGGTCACGGTTCCCCGGCTCTGCCACCGCTCATATGGGAGATATCTGTAGAATAATTCTACCTGTCTGTTCCTATCTCCTTCCTTCCTCCGACTCTCCCCCTTCTTTCTCCCTCTCTCTATGCATGACCTTTCTGCATTTCTCTCCAGCTGACCGTGGTGTCCTGCCAACTCTTTCCTTTTCCTCACCTCACACTACTAGCTGCTCTCTACCACCACCCCCTTAAACCACCCCGTGCCCCTTATTTTCACCCCCCACTGACTGCTTCTTCTCTCCCTGTCCCTTAGTTCCGCCCCCTGGATCACTTTGCTCCCCCTCTCTCCTCCTCTCGCTGTCTCCCTCTTTGCCCTCTGCAGCTGTACATACTCTGCTTTTTAATTAGACCGACTCACTAGCTCCACCTCCCTCTGCCTCCTACTCTCCATCCCACACTCCTACCCCCCTCTCCCTTTGCTTACAAGGATACAGGGGGCTTGCATGGCGACACGGAGAGGGGGTCATCGTGGAGAGACGCAGAGAGAAAAGGGGAGAGAGGAAAAAGGAACAAGACAGGGATAACTAAGAGGAGCATCTGAGAGGATAACTGCCTGTTTGCTCACTCTTGTCTTCATGCTCCCCCTCCTGTCCATTCACTTCCACTCACAGCACAAACGCTCAGACAGCTAGGTAGGCACAGCGGAGCACAGAGCTCTGAGGGATGGATAAAAAGGTTCCCACGTGAAAGACATGAATCCACGGAAGAAGAGGAGGGTGAGATAGAAGAAGACACAACCAGAGAGGAAAGGAGAGAGGTGAGGAGGAGAGGAAAGGGAGACAAGAGAGGAGCAGATGGACTCTACATTAGGGGAAAGCAAACAGTGTGAAGCTCACCGAGCAGCAGTGACAGAGAGGTGGGAATAAAAAGCAAACATGAACGCCAGAGGGATGGAAGAATGGGCTGAAGAGACGTGAAGGAATAGCAGAGAAGAGGAGCGAGCGTTTGTGGGAGAAAGAGACAACACAGAGGGAAGCAGGAAGAGAGAGATATGTGGTATGTGTGACTCAGTTCTGTGTCCTGATGGAAGATAGTACAGCAATCTCCCCATCAGTCTTCTCCCAGCATCACCATAGAGATAACGAAGTGAGAAAGATCAGAGCTGAGGCAAGATTTAAAAGCATGAGAGAAGTATCTGTTTATGTTTTGTGCAGTGGATATTATCAATAAGTATCTTTTACTTGATGTTTTGTTTAGTCTCTTTTTACATTCTGCTGAATCTTGCAATGAAAAGAAAGCCAGTGTGTATCCCTGTGCACACAAATGCATGCATGTATTTTGTCTGTGTTTGTGTTGTGCTAGTGTTTGGCAAGTGTGTGTGTGCGTGTGTGTGTGTGTGTGCACATATTTATTCTGACAATGGAGGTGTGTTCATCTGCTCATAGTGTGCCTGTGTGTGTGAAATCTAGTAAAATGGGATTGTATGTGTGTGTTTGGATACTGGGATTTGCTTTACTGCAGGTGTGGGAGTTATTTTCCAAGATTGTGCAGCTTTATGAGAAGCTTTAAAGAGTGAGGAGCTTAGATTGGTCTGTCAGTGATGTAGCTTTGCAGATTCCAGCAGCGTGCTTTCAATGCATATTTGTCATCAACAGGGTGTGTGTGTGTGTGTGTGTGGGGTGGGGGGGTGGGGGGGGGTTGCAGAAAGTTGAGGAGGAAGAGGCACTGAGTGAGGGAATTCGTATGGATCTGTGTTTCTGTGTGTGTGAATAAGTAAGGTCCAGTGCATCCTGTTCTGGTTACGTGAGCATTTAATTTTTAAGTAAAGTCTGAAATTGTTTATGCATTTTGATAACACTAATGCACTTTAACGTTATGATAACCTACATACCAGTAATAGCTTAATGTTGGTTGCAAATCTTTCATGTTTCTCAATTCACTTATCGTTTAGTAATCTTGTCATTGACATGCATGATACAAACGTAATTGAACGTGCACTCTGTCATGCACACCATCAAATACCAGTGCATGTAATCACAGGTGCACATTTGTACACACACATTTGCTGTGTGAAGAAATGCTGTGCTGTTAATCCTGCCTGTCGCCGCACAACTCTTTTCTCCTGTTCTCCTACTCCCTCTTCTCCACACTACAGTATATTTTCCTTTTATCTTATCTCATCAACGTGTCTTTTAAGGGGTCAGCTATCTCCATCTCCCAGCTTCCTCTTTTCTATCTAACATTTAATCCTTTTCTCACATTGCGTATAAAACTGTCATCTGTCTCCTCCTTAATTTTCTCACTTTAGCCAACAGAAGTTAATGTACTCATATCTTATACTTTTACTGTCTTTTTCTTTCTCCACACTCTGAGAATCTGTCTGTCTGCTGGCCAGGTGTTTTCATTGGGCTGGCTTGGCTTTATAGGTAACAAACTATGATGTACTCTTGGGACATTAGTTTGGACAGGGACATTGCAGTACGACAGCCCAGCAGAGAGTAACCCCCAGGGAGCGGACTGCACTATACGTATGTACCTAGCATGCTGCTGTGCATTGGACCTGTCAGTCAAGCCACCTGTCCTGTTTTGCTGTTGATATTTCACACAGAGACCTTTGGAACATTTAACCTCTCTGAATTCTGTGGAAGAGTGGAGAAGAGGCGCACAAAAGCTGGAGCACAAAATAATTACCAGCCAGAGAAACAAGACAAGGCTGCAGAATGCGTGCAAGAAAGAAAACAATGTTTACTCTGGCTTTCTTTCACAGATACTCCAACATTCTCAAATTTGCTCACAGTTGGCTAAGTATGCTTATCACAATCCATTGGCCTACATATAGGGATTTCATATTAGGCAGAGGATTTTGGTCAGAAGAGGACAGATGGAACAAATCATTTCTGGCACTCCACCCCTAAAAGTTAGAAGTAATCCAGCCATCCTTCAAGGAAACTGAAACACGTAGGGTGGCCGCACTGTCCTCTTTAGTAATGAGCTGGCCAGTGACAGGACATTTGTGTCTTCGTGTTTGTGTGACAGTGAAAGTGATGTTTAACCTTGAAATATTGGCATGCTGTGCTGTTAAATTAATAAGAGCATTTAGCGAGCTGTGAATTCTAGAAGTCTGTCTCGCTATGGAACAGTCCTAAATTTCATCTTGTGTCGGGCTCAGACCTGGCACGTCGCACATATTTGTTTTTGATTGTTGATCTTTGTTGTTGTATATTTTTATGTTGTCAGTATATATATTTATATGTACACAATATTCTCTTCCGTTACGTTACTTCTGCACGGCACAGACCCAGAATAATGCACATGTATATATATCTGCAACGTTGTTCTTCAATTCCATATTTCTATATTTCCACATTAATTTATGTTGACTGTATGTTTGTCTAAGTGTAGTACCTTATCACCACAGCAAATTCCTTGTATGTGTAAAACACTACTTGGCAATAAAGCTCCTTCTGATTCTGATTCTGAGATACCGAGCATCATAGTTTTCACATTGCAAATGTAAAAGTTAAATATCATCGGACGTTTTATTTTTTGTATTAATTCTGAAGATATTTTTAGATGTCTGACTGAAAATCAGAGGTTCTAGTAATTCACGAAGAGACAGGATAAATGGTGTATGAGGTGAAAAGGAAATTGGAGGACCATCAGGCAAGAAACCCCTTAGATAAAAACAGACACACTAAACTAACTAGTAATCTCTTAAACCTGCAATAACTGCTCTTTATTGTCACTTAGGGCTAGTGAAAACAAGCTGTAAACACAACACTGACATATCACACTGTGAAGCACATAGTGGGCTTTTTTCTTCCAGCAGTTACAGAGCAACATTATCTTTCATTTGGAGTTTCTGGCCACCTGATGAATGAAAGCCCAATATTCACTCTCTTATCTCTGTTTTGGTCTCTACCAACTACTGAGGGTTATATCTGGCTCTTTAGCTGTTTATTGGTTCACCGTGTTCACAAGCTATTCACTAACTGTGTCAGTCTTTTCTATTGATGGTGACAACAGCTGCAAAACTAAAATCCCACTGCGCATGAAAGAGAGAAGCTAGCGGCTACTGTAGCTCACTAAAAGCCAGTGGTGACTACTAGATTGTTTTTTCTCATAGAAAATGAAATGTTATTATTTCTGTGTACAGTCTTTTGTAACAAGGTTGGCATCTTGAGGCCAAGTGCACCTTATGAAACTTCCAGTCTTTCTGTTTGTATATGCTGATCATTTAATACTTCCATGGAGCGAGTGCCTGGTGAAATATGACTTGCTGTGATGGCTGACTGTAACTGGCCAAATTGGATGCCAGTACACAGTCATAAACAAACAAACCAGCACTTACATCTTGCTGCTATTACACAAGTGTCTGACAGGAATACAATGGCTGATTTCACTGTGTTGCCTCAGATATATAATGAATTAAGAACATTACATTTGGTTTGTGTAATTTTATTTGCTGTTAAGTATGATCAGGCTTAAGATTTCAATAGTCAGAGGCAGCTAACTCAGTAACACTGTTTCCAGCTCTGCTCTTTAAGTGCTTTACTTTTTCTTTTTTCTTCCTCTTCCTTCCCTCTTTCCTTTACTTATTTCTATTAACAATTTGCTAAAGCCTGGTTGTGGTTGATTTCTGCTTCAGCATTGCTTATGTATGCATGAGGATCTGTGTACATACAAGTCTTTGTTCCCATAAAGTCCTTTATGGGCTTACATCTACATTTTTATAATATGCTTGCAGGTTTTATTGTATCAAATAAAAGGAAACAACCCCCTGTTTGAGACATTGCCGTGCTGCACTGTGCTGCACGCAATGCTTATCTAACAAAATATTCATCTACATGCAACTCTAAAGGAGTTGTTCCCTGAATTTGAGATCTCTTTGGACAAGAATGCAAACACCAGAAAGGCTCCTGCACTTCTGCATCTGTTCTGTAAGCTGACTGTGTTGTAAATTCCTCTGACAGAGTACAGGTATAACTCTTATCTTTCCTTTTGCTCACAGGACCAATAACTGATCATAGCTTTTCTTAGTTCCTCTCCAGTTCCCCCTTAAATGCCCTGACACGCTGATGCTCCTGATTTACCACTTCACTGAACCCTAACCATGACATTTCCTCTGCTGCCAGGGGTTGTTCCCTCCTGCTTGGCTCCCTGTCCCCCTACCTCTGCCTGTCTGTCTCCCTCCGCCTCTTCTCCCTCCTACTTATTCAGATTCCTACTCCTCTCAGTTTGCTATGTGTCTCATAACATCTCTAAATATAACCAAGCATGTCTACCTCCTCACCTTCCTCTTCCTCTCTCTGACTCCTCTTCATCTCAGTCCTGTCTGACAAATTTAAGCGTGCCTAGACAATCCGATCTGACATGCCTTTACATAACAATTCAATCCACAGCACCTTCCACCTCCTCAGCACGGTGAGACCCAAAGGTGTGTTATTGGCACAGATGCAATTCTCATCATCCCTGAAAGACTCAGAATATTATTAGATCTGTGCAACCGTAGTCTTGGCTTCGTGTATTTTTAATGCATCAGATATGTTTCTCAGTGTCAGCACAGCTTAGCACAGGGAGATCAGATGTGACCTTAGCATTATCATCACGCGCACACACACACACACACACACACACACACACACAGCCATAAAGCCACATGCACAGGAAAGAGGATGGAAGCCTATATTCACAGTAAAGTAGGTAGGCAGCTAGCAAGAAGGATGTAAATCTCAAATAATAACCGCAAAGAGTTACGGCCCTTGCTGGCATTATGCCGTTGCACACCTTCCTCCTCCTGCCTGGTGATTTATCACTTGTCTGCCAATAAAGCTCAACATGAAAATGCCACATGTGGGAAAGAGCTGGCCTCAGCCACAGCAATGAGCCCATACAGCATTAAGAGGGTCTGGATTCATTAAACTGTCAGCGTAAATTTTGATCTGAGGGTAGTTTGCAGACAGAAAGGGAGGGGGACAACAACCGGCAGCAGGAGAGATTGCGCTGGTGCAAGTGTTGGTGGAGGAAGCAAGGCAGATATGAGTGACAGGGGGGGAAAGAAAAAATGAGAGGGGCCAGATGGAAGAAAGATAGAAAGAAGGTAGGATCAGGATGACGCCCCATACAATGAGTAAATGTAAAGGCGGCGTCAGGCATCTCTGTCAGGGTGAATGTTGTAGTAGAGCGCATTTTCCAGAGATGGGAAAGAACACTAACGACCGGAGTGAAATCGGATATTAATGAAAAAATAGTGGAAGTAGAGTGGAAACATGATTTTATCCAGGGAGATTTCAGATAGAAAATCATCAAGGTCAAATGGACAGTTTAGATCAAAGCAGGGTAGTAGTATGCTACATTGTGAATCAGCTCATCTGTGTACACTGCATTAATGAGAAAGTAACATGAGAAGGAATCCCATGGTTTGTTTCTAAAGCCATTAATATATCATACTGTGTATGGTTGATATTTCCCCTGAAGTCTCACGTCTGCTTTGACTTTAATCATAATTTATCCTAATAACCATGTTTTTAAAGGGGTTGACGGTGGGGGGCGGGGTTGTGACAAAGATCCTCCTCTTCAGAGCTGGAGGAAGAATGGGAGGAAAACAGTGGACGTAAATAAAAGTGGCAGTCCCTCGGGTATCTCTCTCCCTAAATAACCTGGGAGCTGTGAAGAAGTCACTAATTACCCCTCCCACAGAAGAGAGGGGAACAGAGTAACGGCCAGTCACACTTGCACACAAAATTAGCCCAGGCCTGTCAGTGTCAGAGGCAATCACAAGGAGATAACAAGGCGTAGATCCTTAGATCGTGTAAGACAAACGACAGCATCACGCCTGACTGCCAGTGGCACAGACTGGAAATGGAAGTGATATATATATATATGTATCAAGGCCATAGATCATCAAAAACAGGCCACAGAATCAGAGTGACGAGAACGTACTACTAAATACAGTGAGGCAGACAGACTGTCACACAGTGACCAGATGAATCAGAAAGGATGTCACCATGGCAGACCATCAAGCACTGATAACAGGGCCACAGACTGTTAAACATGAAGGAAAAGAAAAATCTGTAAGACACATGCATATGAGGAATACGATAACAGTCACACTGTGCGCCCATAAGCAGGAATAATACTACTGAATACTACCACAATACTGCCGCTGCGGCTACCACCACTACCACAATAGAGCTGCTTTTAACAATAATGTTAGTATGCCTAATAGCTACATGCAATCATACAAAAGACAGTCATTAAATATTAAAACGAGAACCACAGAGAGAAGACTATTACATACACATAAACCATAAGTATCCCCTTCAGATAATGTGAATAGGCCTTAATTACAATCTCTTTTCACTTGTTTTAGGCACAGACTGTATGGTGGATATTCTTCTATTGCTGGTGATATACCTAGTGTTTCTCCTATACCCTGTTTTTCTTTCGTAGCCTATATCCTTTGATTACTTTTTCTGAATTGATGTCTTCTCTATCCATTCTGTGGTGACCCTAGCTCTCATGCATTTTTAAAATAGCTGCCTATCTTATATCTACCTCATTATCCTGAGGAACAAGTACATTGTGTTTCAATGGAAATGCAATAATATGGAAACAATTACAATCTCTTTTCTTTCTCTCTTTGTCATTCTGCTCTCTTTAGGAGCTCACGCTGTCTTCAGCCATGAGAGAATGAGTCACTGAGAGAAGAGCTGAGAAAAGAAAGAGAGAGTGATAAAAGCAAAAGGAAGGGAGCAAGGACAAAAACAGCGGAAACAGATTGGCCATTATGGGGAAGTATGCCGGTCTATCCCATACGTTGGTCATCCAATCTCCTGAGGGCCCAGGACAAAAAGCAGGTGGAGAAGGAGGGCCTGCCAAGTAGACAAGCCAGTGTGATGGACACAGAAAGCATGGGCAGGCTGCATTCCCTTCCTCCCTGCTTGTTTACCGGTAACCTCTCTGGCCTCATCAAGAGTTCATCTCCCTGGAAAGTTAAAGAGAAATGCGAATAAGTGAGCAAAATTGAGCAATGAGCAAAGTGCACAACCATAGAAGACATGGAACAGTATGGAAACTTATCACATACTCATTTTAAAGAATACCTGATGCTGCATATATTTATTTTTGTACAAAGGTAAGAGTTGAGACCCATAAGGATTTTTGGGTTACCAATTATCAGTGATCGATACTTAATTTTACTTGCTGTGCTTAATATTACTACACCTTGACCTGTGAATATGGTAATCCATCCTTTCTAGAGGACAGTTTTAGCTGTAAATGAAGAACTTGGTGTGTAGATTTGAGATAACCTGAGCAGCTGCACATAATCTTATTGTGTTCTGTGATAAAACTGGAACTCAGTCAATCAATTGTACAGCTCTCCCACTGTTATATTGAATATATAGTAAAGGGGAGATCACTTTCCTTGTTGACGCACTAACACAACTAGGCCTTGACAACATCAAACTGCCTGCAGAGCCTGTGGATGTTGGGGGAGCAAAAGAGACAAGAGAAATGGTGAGCAAAGAGCCCAACCACTTACTCACAAGCCGAACCAACGGCAAGAGCACCTTGGCGGACAAGTTGCCTGGGACAATGACTGTGCGCTCTGTGCTGCTCAATCGAGACTCCCCAGATATTGAGAGCCGCCTCAAGCGGCGCCGTAACCGCACACACCAGGTCCGCTTTAAAGACTTGGAGGATGGCAGCAGCAGCAGTGGCAACAGTGGAACAGGAGAAAACAATAGCCATCAGAGGCCTGCCACAGATTGTGGCAGCCCACATCCTCTTCGCAAACACAACAGCAGGTCCCCCCAGCCATGGACTGAAAAGGATGGGGCACGGACTGAGGGTCTACCTGGCCAAACTTCTGTGGTGGGGGCTGTGCGTGGGGACATGGCAAGTACTATAGAGGTGGTGGCCGCTTTCTTAGCCAGGGCCCCTCCTCATCCATTGACGCCGGGTCCTACACGTAGATGCTGGGCACCACCACAGACTAACTCCCTAACCTTGCCAATGACACGCAAGCCCAGTACGAGCACCAGCACAGCCATCCAGACCTCCCCATGCCTGAAAAAGCCCCAGTCCCTCTCTTCCACACACACACGTAGCCACAGCCTGGGGGACTCAGTGGGCATGGATGGGGATGACGAACACGACTCTCAAGATGAGTACCTTACGCACAACCATGTGTTGTTGCCGGGGTCCAAAGACCAGAATGGTCCTCCTGTACCTGGGGATCGAACTGTGGTAGAAAGGAGGTCTAAAGCCTCCAGGACAGACATTAAATCAGCAGTTAGTGTGGTAAAAAACTCAAGGCACAGCTGTCCTCCTTCAGTCCTTCTTACCACTGAGCCATGTCACTGTTCCTCTGTATCCTGTCGAGATGGCCCCAAGCGTCAAGGAAGCAGTACTCCCTCAGTGGTCAGGAGGAGAAAACGGCTGAATAGGACAACAAGTGATCCTGGAAAGGAAGTGCACTACTGCAATACTCTCACTCAGACTGAAAGCCCTAGGCCATCCCTGCAACAATCAAATGCCAGACTCTGTACTACCCAAGTTCAAACTGAGAGCCCTTCCACACCTCTAAATTCAAAATATTGCACGGCCCAAAGTCAAACTGAGAGTCAACATCAGCCTCCACCTTTGAGTGACAAACAATGCACAACTCAAATTCAAATCATGAACTCTCGTCCAACCCTACCTCCAAATGCTGAGCAGTGCACCACTCAAATACAAACAGACTCGCCCTGTCACTCTCCTCCAAATCATCAACTTTGCACTACCCAGACACAAAATTGCAGCCCCTGTGCTTCCCCACCTCTGACAGAATCATCAATGCAAATTCAATCTGAGAGTCCTGTATCCCCAACTACAACTCAAGACCCTCCCACCACCCAAATAACTACTGTGCCTTACTGTTCCTCTCCCCCACCTACAAGTGCACCAACACAGACCCCTGAACACTGCGCTAAGCCACCTTGCTCCTCTCCAGCAGAGCCGGCTTGCACCGCTCACCTCCACCCATAGCACTGTCCATTCCTTGCTGCACTTCTGCACCTACTATCGTCCAACACCCTATCCCCTATTATACTGTTGTGTCGCCACCAACAACCCCCAGCACAGCTGTTGTCTGCTCCAGTCCTCTCTCAACTGTCCACACCCAAAACTGCACCTCCCCAATCTCAAACATAGTATCATCAGCTCCCCTGACCTGTTCCACCCCGACCCCAACTATAACTCCCACTGTAACTCTCTCTGACCCCACCAGTTATCCAACCACTGCCCCTAATGTAACACATCAACCCCCAACCAATACATCAATCGCGACACCTCCTACAAATCCAACACCCTGTACATTTGTAACTCAAACTGCCTTGTCTTGCACCTCCATATCGTATTACTCTACTACACATCCGATTGGTCCCAATGCCCCTCACCCAAATTCTGCTTCACCTTCTTATGCCACTCTCATACAAACTGTATCTCATTGCAACATCCCATGTCAAGCTCGGCAAAATACCTCTTCTGCCAACACAGGCACAACCCCCTACTCCTCCCCAGTCCCCAAACTAAAATCATGCACTTCTCCGCCTCCACTTGTGAAAACATATGTGTCCACTCTTCCAAATGCACAACTATGTGCAACACCAACTAAAGCTGTTCCTCTGTACTCTTCCACATTTCGTGCTGCGCCACCATACACCCCTCCCTCTCAGGCCCCTTACAATGCTCAGGATAAGAGGGGCATTCGACTTCCACCTCCTCCCCCACCACCTCCACCTTACACACCACGCAAAAATGGAAGTGATCCACCAGGTCCTGCAAGCCGAACACCCATGCTCAGGGCAGACAGTAAAAGCAGCAAGAAAGATAAAGACAGGGACAATGAGAAAAAGGAAGATATAAGATGTACAGACTCGCCCAACCTCTGTAAGAGAGCCAGCTCTCTGAAGCACAGAGCTCATACTCCGCCAGTTGCTGGGATGAATCAAGAGAAGCAGTCCTCCTCCTCCTCTCCTGCCAAGGCCTGTTTTAAGTCCAGCTGTCTCAGCTCAGCCCAGGCTCAGCTTGGGGCACTGCACAAAATGCTCTGCTCAGGCGCCAACGCTAGGCCCAACACCCCTAACAGCCAAAACCCTTTCCCTCCAAACCAGCAGGGTTGCTCTGGAGCCAGGGGCTGCACTGCTTCTGGGGAGCGGCCTACTGCTGGGCCCCTGACTGCCACCCAGGCTGACACACTAAGACAGGTCCAGGAAATTCTGGGAGGGTTGGTGTCTGGGGCCAGGTGTAAACTGGATCCATCCAGGGTAACAGAAAAGCTCCTGAGCCCCAACGGACCCCTGCACGATATTCGTAGCCTGCAGAACCAGCTCCACAGCCTGGAGGGAGTTCTGGAGACCAGCCAGAACACCATTAAGGTCCTGTTGGATGTCATTCAAGACCTTGAGAAGAAGGAAGCCGAGAGAGACGGGTGAGGCAATTTTTGATTATGGGCGTCAGTTTACATTGTAATATTGAAAACGTAATGCCTGCATACTCACTCCAACAACACAAACCTATTTTAATCTAAATGTTTTGAGCTCAATCAGACCTTTGTCAGGTCATAATACATACTGCATTACATAATAGTAAGCTTACCTTATTACTGTAACATTATCAACATCCAACTGCTGACATAAGTTGCTCTGATGATTTTTCACACTTGCATTTAATTTGTCCTTGGCTGATCTAAGTCCACATTTAATGTGATTTCACCCTTCAAAGTGCTGCGGTAGTCTAATAAGTATTTTCAAGACATGGATCTGTTGCTCAAACTGGACTTCATGGATCGTGTTTCATGTCTCACCGTTACCTGAATCAACAGGCCCCCACCAACTCAGCCTTTTGCATTGTTTAAAATTGGATTATTTTGAAAGTACATTGTGTCTCACACAATTCACAAATGTGTTTTTGGAGATAGTATTTGTTATATAAATCCCCAAAATATTTGCGAATCCTTCTGTGTGCATTCATTAATACTGAGTCCATACTGATAAGCCTTCCATCTCCTGGATCTACTCAAACCAGTCTCACCAGTACCTGAAACAACACACCCACACCAATGCAGCCCCTTATGATCTTATCCTTTTGTTTGGTGCTAATCTTGAGTCGGGGATAACCCTGCTATCGAGTGGGGTTTAGTATGAGGATTCAGGCTTGCATTTGTTAGCCTAAGTGTTTAACTTCAACCCCAGGTGTATAATTTAAGAATTTCACATCGCAGGGTAGATGACCTAGGATCACAGTATTATTCTTTGCACCACATGTCCAAGGTGGTGTTCAAAGGTAGCGTTAACAGTAGTGCGAAATGTTGCATAGCCCAAGGTTAAATCAAGGGTTTTGAAAGGGGTTTGTCTGGGTTTAAATGCAGTGTGAAAGCCCTGGGCCAAAAGAGGACCTATCCACCATTTGAAGTTGTAAATGTGAAATGACTGGAAGCCCCAGGATAATGGAGCTGTAAACCCAGGGCTAACAGGGGTTCTCAGCCAAGGGCCAAGTGTAGTGTGAAACGCCATCTGGTAATCTGTAGCCAACTTTAATATTCAGTCTTCTGTTTACACTTATTGAATATATAAAAATGTTTTGATAGATAGATACATAAATAGTTAGGAATAAGATAAGGGAGAGAAGACCAAACAATGGCACCACATAAATTACAAGTGCCTGGTATTTTGGAGACCTGGAAAGTAAATGTCAGCATGTAGCCTAAGTGCCTGCTATTTTATTCCCAGACAGTTAATTTCTCAAGTGAGGATCTGGTTCTATCCATGCAAAAACAAATAAGGGACAGACATGATGTGATCATAGCTTTGCACTAAAAGAGAGTCTCCTCTCTCCTGGAATGGAGTAGACAAGTGGGTTGTTGTAGGCAGATTATTCTTCAAAAAGGGAATATCCACAACCCAGCGGTAACAACCTCACTGCATCATGTGCTGTGAATATTACAGATAGATAGTTGTTGTGCCTAAGCTTTGCTGTGATGCAGCTCATCTATTTATAGCCAATCCCGGCATTGTCAGCATTGTAAATACTTTGGCAACAAAGCTGTGTGGACAGAAAACTATGTAAATTTGGTGAGAATGAGAAGGCCAAAGAGACAGAAGTGGTTAAAACAGCAGGGTGAGAAAAGACAGAGAAAAAGAAATACCAGACTGAATGCAAGACAGAAGGCAGCAGAGCATCTGTTGTTATTTTTATGAAGTCTCATGTCAGTCATGCAACTCTCAATCTCAACTCAACTCTGAAGAAAGAGTTTATGTCATGTCAGACCACAGGGAGCGGTTGTGGAGCTTGTTTTTTACCCATTTCACAGCAGCCCATTCCTCATGCATGTATGCAGCAGACAGGATTGATAGAAATCTGCATTTGGCTGTCATCATGTTGGTGGTTTCAGATGCGCCATGCCTCTTAGTGTAAACCCTTTACTATTATCATCAAGTCTTTAATTAATCTGCTTCCTACATTGTAAGCTTCTTAGTAATTTCTCCTGCCTTATCACACCAAAATAGTAAATGATGTGGGGATGAGAGAACTCTTGAAACGATAGACGTGGATGGATGTGTGTCTATGAATCCATGGAAAGGCTTGACTGATATCTGAGCAGCGTAATCCAAATCACACTGTTAACACTAATGCCAGCACTATACTTTGCAGACATTTGAACATGTGACTGCACGGCCCTCTGTCTCATAAACTGACTTGCGTGTTCTAGTATAAGAATTCAGTGATGGGGCTAAGTCTAATGCACGCAGACTTGACTTTTACCTCATAAGCATTATTTTATGCCTGGAGTGATATAGTGACTCATAGTTTACGTAACAGCCTGAGCCTGTTGGAAGGGGTATCGTTCATTAAATAATTATCAGGGGTGATTTCAGAGAGGAGATTGGTGTATTTGCCGGGGTGTGTGTGCCAGATATCCGGTTCAACAAGGGAAACGATAACCTGAATTTGTCTTTGTGGGCTCACACAAACGCACACACAACATCACTCTTTTACCCCTGATATGTCATCTCTGTGCTTCTCAACAGAAGACATTCCTACAGGACCGGACAGGACATTGAGAACTGTGGGACCTGCAGGGACTGTGCCTGCATCATCTACAGGTATGTGGATGGATGTGTCCTCCTGTGAGAGTGAATTTCTACATATTTATCGCTTCTTTTACATGCGAGCACTGCGAGCACAGTGCGTATCTCGGTGCACAGTTATGTGCATCACGCTGTCATTTCCAATCACATCAGTTTTGTGACTTCAGTTTCATGGCATGGTAGGATTGTCATTCTGCTCTGTGTGACAGCACAGCCAGATGCAGCACTTTGAGTATGGCCACTCATTGCGCAAATACCACTTCAGGTTTGATCACTGAACACAGTTATAAGAGATTTATTAAGACTTATCACACACGTACTCTCATGCCCTAGCTCTCAGATTTAATGAGGTGAACAACAACACAGACTTAAGTTGTGCACCCGTGTGCCCACTTGGTTTCATCCCTTCTCCTCTACGCTTTTCATTTTCTACTCTCCTTATCTCTCTTTTACACACACAGATGCACATGGTATCAAATTCACAAACACACACACACGCACACACATGCATAGTTACTGCATAATCATTCCACTCCGAGATTTGAATTGAAATCAATCAATTACCAAACGGGATTTCACACTTTACAGGAGGGTGAAGAAAGGCAAACAGAAAAGTGTGGATTGCTATGAAATTAAAATCCCTGTTTCTTAGTTGTAAATGTCAAAATTGCAAAAGAAAATAAGGGTTATTAGTAGAAGAAGCAAATCTTGCAAAGGAGAATAAATAGTGGCGAGAGAGGAGGGATGACATTCAGAGAATTTATATACACATGTATTATCTGATTATCACTGGATTAACCCTAACACATGAAATATTTATCCAATTTTTTAAAACATTTTTCTTTTCGATTTTCTTTTCTTTTTTCCTTCTCTTTTTTTTATTTTTATTTTTTTTACTTATATAAGATAGTATGTCCGTTTATATACTATATTCATATTACATTTATATAATGCAAAATTTCTATACGGTAACATTTTTATGTATTTAATCATCGTATTTAAATTTATCGTATTACAGCATACTTTATATTGTATTGTTACAAATATTACACCAATGCTCATAAGAAAACATTTATGTACACTAAATTTTTAGCATCTAATTTTGATTTATTGTTTATTCTACTTATTCTTTTATGGTATCTGCAAATAGTATAGAGCAAATTCCTGCTCTATACTATTAAAGATTGTACGATTCTCCTCTCCTCCACCTTTAGTTTTTCCAACCGGTTGAGGCAGATGGCTGCCCACCTTGGTCTAGGTTCTGCTCAAGGGTTCTGCCTGTTCTGTCACTGTTGGCAAGTGCTTGCTCGTTGTGGGAATTGTTGGATTTCTGTTAATAATGTTATAAAGTAATGTACAGTCTAGACCCGCTCTATATGTGAAGTGCCCTGAGATAACTTCTGCTCTGATTTGGGGCTATATCAATAAAATAAAATTTTGAAGACAATCTGGTTTCCCCAATTACCACTGAACATTTCTTATATGGATACAATTGTTAAACCAATCTTTAATTGGTTTGATTAAATAATTTAACGATGGTATGGCAGTTGAAACCATAAAAGCATTATGAACTGCAAAACAATGGTGATTTGGGGATTTTCAAAAGAATACCTATAAATAGGTACCTACTGATTTTCAACATTATAGTACAACAAAATAAAGGTAGATATTGGTAATTATAATTTTATTATTAATGATTATTATATTCAATCAAGCAAATGTTTACCTTAAAATTTTGGTAACAATACAAATCTTACCACAACTTTCTTAGCAAAATGAGGAGCTTGGTAAGGCAGTCATCTTGAATTTGGTAAATAAGGGCCCTGTACTTCCTGCATTACACTGAGAATCCACTAGAGGGCAGTTTACATGTGCCAGATTGAATGCAATATGTTTGTCAGGTAATTATTGATCTTGCTGATATGTGTATCAAATAGTATACAAATTGTGTTACGGGTTAAGGCAGTTCTCTGATTATTACTTTTATAACTTTCATTTAAACACCTTAGAGGCGTTACGTTAGTCAAATTATATCCTAAAACTGAGAAAGCATAACCCAATTAACAGGCTAGCTTTCACCATCAATCTTTCTAATTGTGGACTGGAGCAGTGAAATATTGTGTGTATACACTTTAGACTTTAGATTGCATTCAGTAATTTGATTGTGCATAGTCACCTACGCACTCCTTTATTATTTATTATTCTGTAGTGCTAATAAGGTGTTTCCTGTAGCTACAAAACCATCCTTGACATTAACCTGATTATCAAACAAATTATGCTATTCCTGAAGTTTAAATTATTGTAAAGCACATAAATGATTCAATCAAACCAGCATCCTAATATGGTTATTTATAGTGTGTATGCAAACCTCCTCAATCAAGAAACATGGAGAAGAAAAAGAAAGACAGTGGGGGAGGACAAGAAGAAAGACAGTTGAGGATAAGAGAGCAGAAAGCAAAAAGATCTGTGAGAAAAGATCTGAGTTTTAGAAATGGAACAAGATAGAAAGAGCACAGGGAGAAGAAGCCCATGAAGAAAATGATTCATTCAGAAACTCAATACAGCTTCATCTTGAAAGATTAGAATATTACAGTGAGGGTGGCAGCTCAAGAATTTCAGTATGAAGCAATGATAGTTCTTTATCTTGAAGAAAGGGAATAAGATATACAGACGAGGACTATAATGAGAGATTGTTGATTGGAGAGTGACGTGAGAGAGTAAGTTATCGTTCTGGTATGTTGTACTTATATTACACTCCTCAGTCGACATCCAAAGCCACTGTTTTTACGGTCAGATGGGGACTTATCACTCAATCAACCTGTCAAGTCGACATGCTTCTTTCATGTGCGACAAGAGGATTTCCCTGCTTTGAAAAGGGAGGAGATTTTCTTTTCTTTGAGGCTCAAGCTGAGCTGAGTCTAAAAAAGGGAATCTGGCCACGATAGAGAAAAAGGTGTTGGAGGAGAGAGAGAAGATAAAGTGAAGCCTGAAAAGGAGTGAGTGATGGAAAAGCCATAAAATCTGACAGGACAGATTCTATCAATTTAAATGCCTCTTGAAGAAGTCAGCCCTCAAAGAAAAGCCCAACTCAGCACCACACAGTATCAATCTAGCTGGAAAGCTCAGACAGGAACTTATTTGGAAAACTGAGAATAAGTTGCATGAAGGAATATTTGTCCTCGCCCAATAAACCACAAAAAAATTGATCTGCAGTAAAGCAAATGTCACAGAACTGTAAACAATCAAAATTGTTACACTAACAGTAGATCAAAAGAGTATGTGTTATGTGAAAGAGGTTCCTGAGTGTTGAACCCACAGATATTATTGCTTGACTCTGCAGTTCACCTCAGCGCTACAGAGCGTTTTGTTTAAATCTCACAGCTCTCATTTTCATTGTTTTCGGCCGCACCCGGCAGCTGTGTTGAGTGGGAATGTAAATAAATACATTACAACATAAATGGGATATGAACACATAATGCACTCTGAATAGATACTATAACTTTTGCAGTGGAATTTATATAGACACATATAGACACAGATTAGTTTTTAAATCATGCACTATGGTCAATGCAATTCTGAATAATTTCCCACTATTAAAACCTCCTGTTTGCACTATTAAGCAACAGTTACACAGCTTTTATTTAGACTCGGTTTAAACTTTTGTTTTTTTAGTTATGTTTCACTAATTGATTAATTCAGTTACATAGTTAGAATATTGTATTATTTCCTATATTTTGTTTGCAAAAATTTTACATAGATGTATGAGGGCTATGAATGGCAGCAGAAAACAATTTAAGGCCCAAAATGATAAACCAAC